TTTGGTCAACGAAAGATCTTCGCTCGAGTAGAAAGGACAATGTCCATTTAGCTTTATTCTCGATTTGACCCCAAAATATGTTGTCATGTTCTTAACTATTGGAATATTGCTAATTGGTCCTTTTGCAGTTGAGGACATGCTTGGTATAATTAACATAAAATGGGGACAAGCATTGCCCTGACCACATGTTATGGTTCATGCTGAAGAAAATGGCAGCATCACAAAGACAATATTGGGATGTCAGGTGTCAATATATGGATGCTGTGCTTTACATGAAAATCACTTCATCTGTTGAACTTAAATAGTACATAAAAAACAAGAAAGCTAAAGGCATTTTATAATGCACTTTGATTGGTATGTCGGATTCCTAATATGTAAATGATTGTAAACATTTTGTTATTATAATGCTGGTGGATAGAATACATCAAGATTTATACGATAGTGTGATTTACAAACTTTTTTTGCTTTTGTGTTGTCTCTTTAACAAAAATTTTAAGTCAAAGCCAAAATTTAAAAACTGAAAATAATGAAATAACCCTAAACCCTATGAATGGATGCATCTATGCATCTATGCGACAAGTCATACAAGTAATGAATTAATTTTGAGTTGTTGATAGACATAAAAGTTAAATACATCAAAGCCTTAAATTGTCATAAAAGTTATATACATATACTTAGAAAAAGCAAGGTAAAAAATTTACTCAACTGAAATAATATTTACTCATCATGAATTTTCTCATGCAGAAGAAGTAGTTCCGTTTTTGGGTCTTTGGGACCATTTGCCATTTGAGAGTTCATTCCATCTATGGAAAAGCCCTCATCCTCATCATGGTCATCTTCTTTGTTCAACAAGCTAATTTCTTATTTATCGTCCTTGTACAAGAAAAGAGAGATAGAGAGGAGAGAAGCATTGGCGGACCCATAAATTTTTTAGCGGAGGTGCAATATTGACTAAGTATGAAAAATGGTTTTTCGGAATAATCATTTTCTCAAGATAATTTTTGGCGGCTTTTGTTCCTTACACATCAAATAAGAAAACTTGATTTTATGGGATTTTAGTATGAAGTATATATTGACTTAATGAGCCATCATTTTTAGCCTAAATCGTATTTTGCACTAAAACCAAATTTTTATATTTTGATTTGGTGGGAATTTGATTTTCTAGTATTTTTATTTGAATTCAAATGAGGGGTACTTCTTTATTTACATTGTAAACTTAAGTAAATGGAGTAATATAAAAATAAATAAAAGTAAAAGGACAAAGACATCCTACGATGGTTTTTCTGGCGAGGGGAGGTGCAGCTGCACCTCCTTGCGCCTTAGTAGGTCCTAGGTTTTTTAGGAGCAATGGCCTCTTAATTTGTGCCTGGATTGGCAATTCGGTATTTGAATTCGAACAATGACTGCTATAGTTCCTTAACTCCACTTTCATTAGCACAATTGATCCTCCATCATATTTTCTATTAAATGAGTTTACAATTCTGATAAATAATGAACACATTCAAACCTACAAATGCATGTAACCAAAAACAAAACAAATAATAAATAATATATATTTTTCAGGATACCCTTTGCCTTGAAAGTTCAGCAATTATATGGTTCTTTGATCTTTGGTTTCTTCTGCTCTATTGTTGCCCTTTCAATAGCTTCCTCGTTGTTTCAAAGAGGGCCTATAATTATCTCAACTTTTTTTTTGCTTACAACTTTGATAAAATCTAAATTGGTTACATAGATGCAAAAATAACAATAGACATATTCCACACTTTTCCTAATATATAATAGTTATAAATAAATAAAAGTAGAGAGGACCACTTGTATAAATAAATAACAATAGACATATTCTCATGCAGTAGTGCCGTTTTGGGTCTTTGGGACCAGTCTTTGTTTGTGACTTCATTCCTTTTATGGATAACAAGTCTCGCTCCCTCATCCTCATCATTGCTGTGTAGCTTGTTCAACAAGTTTGCTGTTGAAAATCATGACTATCCGTCCTGACATTTTTGCCCTTGTCTAATTTCCTATTGGTGCTATTGTCCTTGTACTATCTATTTAGCCATGTGTTTTTTCTGTTTCTTTTTACGCTTGTAGACGCTTATAATATCGTATTGTGATATTATATACAGAGCCGACTTTATATTATTTATCTGTTTTATAGCCTACTATCTATTGTCCTTCTATATAAACACAGACCCTCCCATTCAATCCCCATAAGTTTCAGACGACACAGAGAGAGAGAGAGAGGCAGAGAGAGAGAGAGAGAGAGGAAGCTGTCAAGGAGAGAGAAAGAGCTCTCAAGCGACAGAAGGTAATGGCATTATATGTTGTTTGTGTCATGGTTTAGGGTTTAGGATGTTCTTGTCACATTCTAAACACTTCTCGTCATTCATGATTTGAATTGATCCGATAGTGTCACTAATATCTGGAATCTTGTTGGATTAATATGTTGTTTGTGTTGTCTGATATTTAAAGTTGATGTATTTTCAGTTATTAACATCTTAGATGTGGCTTAGATGATTCCTTATATAATGTATTTTCAGTTTTTAAAATATTGCTGGTTCACCTCTGTTGAATTTTAGGGACTATTTTTGATCGGCTGTTTTTGCTTGCGTGGTCTATTGTTAAAATTTGGGGAATTGGGCATATGATTTGCCGATTGCAATTAGGGGAAATTAAGGGTTTGGGAAGGTGAATTAGGGTTTTAGGGCAGTGACTGGGTGTAAATAATATATTTTTTGTTTGAATAATATATTTTTTGATGTGTGATGAAATAATCTTCAGTTGATTCCTGATCAAAATGCACCGCCCATTTTCACAAGGTTGCTTTTTCTTTCTGTAGAAATATCTTCTGTGCTTTGCTTGATTGCACTTTGGCGGAGAATTGGGCCTGTGAAATGGACGGGTCTTCTAACTCCAACCCATCATTTTTTACTAATGATTTTATCATATTTCTCTTAGGTGAAAATCATGAATCCTGATGAGGACGACCTCAATTGCCGCTACTGTCTCACAACTTCGCACCTGAGGTGCAAGGCTTGAAGGCAGCGGACAACAGCAACACCTGCATCATCTGTGCTTCTAACAGGAATTCCAAGATGTTCAGCAGCTACAATGCATTGGAAAGCCACATGGATAGGGTCCATCATGGCTGGAAATCTGCATACCCGACTTGTCAAAAGAAGAATTGCAAGAGGGAGTTTTTGAACAAGGAAGAGTATGAGTCCCACAAAATTTCACTTTTTCCCACAAGTGGGCTTGTGAGACTCATATTCTTCTTTGTTCAAAAATACCCTCTTGCAATTATGCTTTTGACAAGTGGGGTATGCAGATTTCCAGCCATGATGGACCCTATCCATATGGCTTTCCAATGCACTGTAGTTGTTGAAAATCTTCGAGTTCCTCTGTGAA